AGCCGTGTTTGAGCCCAGGGCCACCGAAGGGGACACGTCCCCTCGTCCCGCCCCGGACAGGCGCCCGGAGCCCCCACCGCCAGACTGATTTCTCCGCTCTTCTATGAAATACGGCGCCCTTTGACGCGTCTATTCCAGTGAATACGGCTGGCCGCGGCCCGCCCCCCGCCCGTGACGGCATCGGCGCGCGGCGGGGCTGCGCCGCTACTCGGGACACCTCGGCCGGCGGGGCGGCGCCGCTACTCGCAGCGTTACGGGCCATGGCGGCCGAGATCCACTCGCGGCCGCAGAGCCGCCGGCCCGTSCTGCTCAGCAAGGTCGAGGGGCACCAGGACGCCGTGAGCGCCGCGCTCCTCATCCCCAAGGAGGACGGCGTCATCACGGCCGGCGAGGACAGGTGAGCCAGGGCCCGCTCCCCGCGGGCAGGGCCGGGCCGGGCCGCGGGACTGGGGCTGGGACTGGGGCTGAGGGGGGAGCCGGGACAGCGGAGGCTGCTCAGGGAAATCCGTGTGTGCTGTCGCCTTGCCGGGAGGCGCGCAGGGTCTCCGTGCCTGGAGCCGTAAGGAATTCAGCGGAGCCGGTCCCGGGGATGGAGGAAGATGCCATCAGCTGTGAGGGAGGAGTGGCTGGGCCCGCCCGGCGCGGGACGCGGGGCACCGGCGGGGAGAAGCTGCTGTGCTCCAGCGAGCAGCTGGGAAAGCACGGCTGGCCCTCGGTGTAAAAGGGTCCTGCAGAGGTTATGAGCACAACCAGGAGTGAGGGAGTGTGTTTCCCTCGGCCTTCYGCTCTGCTGGCTGAAACGCACTGTGTTACTGCTTCCCCCGCCTGTCGGGAGAGTTGGAGCTCCCCGRGCTGCTCCAGGGGGAATGACTCCTTTCTGATGGCTCGATGTGCRGCTCTCAAAGCTGCTTCCCTCTGGCTGAAGCCGCTCAGGGAGTGAGTTGGSAGATCTGAAGGAAGAGGGGGTCCTGAGCTGCTGAGCACGGTGCTTTCTGCGTGAAAGGGAACGTATCTTCATAGTCTAATCCYGGTCCTCGGCACTGGCTCGCATAGCATGTGGAACGTCTGCCACAGCTGGTAATGTCATTAAGCAGCTACAGATGAAAGGAAAGTGGAAATGAGGAAGCCGGTAGTACGGGGGAGTGCTGAGGGGTCTGCAGTGTACGGTGAGAGATGGAATTTACCCCGTTTAGTCTGGAAAGTGACTCTTAAATGTGAAGAGGGGTGGGAGATGCTTCTTAAGAGCTCCTCTTAAGAAACTGGCACCGTTTGAAAGGAGGATGGAAAAATAGGAAAGTGCGTTCTTTGAGCTGTAGCTTGGTGCAGGGATAATTTTACTGTTATGCTATAAAACTTTTTAAAATAAATTTGCACTAATATTTGCATGAATTTTGTTTCAAAAGCTTGACCTTGTGAGAAACAGGAAGGTATGAGTGCTGAAAATCAGCAGAGGAATGGTGTTATCTGAACTGGTTTTCTGACATTTATTTTTAGGTCAAAAAATGCAAACAGATCAGCTGCCTCGTTGGTTTGTGTCATCCCTTCCCAAGGAGATGGCTTTGTGCAGTACATGTTGGATAACAGCTTTTGGATGRGACTGGGCAGCTTCCTTTTCATTCCTGTCTTTGGGATGATTGTTTGTGTTTGTGTTCAGTTGCTTTGATGGGCTTCCTGAAGGGAGAGAGGAGGAAACAGGGRTTTTAAGAGTTCATATCAGAGTTAAAGGTACAGAGAGTTCCATGGTACAGACTTGCAGAGGCTTGCCTGTGGCAGACGGTGCCAGCCTGTAAASTCAAGGTCTAATGCCGAAGGTTAAGCAGTCTGTGTGCTTAGACTGTTGATAAGARCCAAGGATGCGGGTGCATCTTTATCTGGGCGAGTTTCGATGTCAGATATAGACTGGCRCAAGGAGAGCAGAGGCCACCACCCATCCTTGGTGTGTGCAGTTTCTAGGCGAGGCTGTGGACTTAAGGCTRAATTTGTGTCACCTGCCTTGCTGTGAGAATTTACTTAAATCTTTAAACTTTCAGAAACCGTTGYACTGTATCACCTCTAATCTGGGGTACCTCCTACAGTACATCAAGGCCTATTCGGTCACATATCCTTCACCTACAGCTTAACATGCTGTCAAACGGTGCTCCCCTGTTTGTTCACAAGGGGGATGTAGGTGCTAATACTGCATAACTGATTATGCTACTGGCAGCAAGTACAGAGTTGGAGCAAAAGGAGCAAAAGAGCTGCTGTTTGCACTAAGAGCAGGGCTAAAGTATTTTTATTACATCTTAATATGCTAAGGCTGTCAAGTATTTCATAATAACCAGTCAGAGGAATGTGTTTACAAGTTGGGTAGTGGGGAAAACATTGGTGCACAAACATTCTCTGGGAACRTTGTAGATTATTCTCTTGTTAGAACTGTTTGTTGTAGTTCTTTCTATTTTAAATTACATTTCCTAGTATGAAAAACAACAGTTCTATTTTTTCAGAGGATACAAAAAAATTTGTAGTAGATCTGTGAATGCAAACAAAATTCTAGGATTTTTTTAAAAAGTTTTGAAGATGAGAAAGGAATCAGGAGTACCTGCAGGAGATAAAGAGTTAATTTTCCCAATCGGATTTTTCAGCAGGACACTTGCCATCTGTGAAGCTTTCTCAGAACTTATCTAGAAAGGATGATTAACTCTGTGTCCCTGTTGGCATCTTGTCTGTCCCTGGCTCCAAGACAATGTTGGGAATTGTTGCAGTGTGTCCCTCAGCAGACAAATAGCTAAGGCAAGCTGAGTGTTTCCCAGCTGCAGCTGGGAWTGCTGAGAGATGATAAGCTGTGTACAAGACCCTAAATGCAAGATGAAAATAATGTATTTACCACAGGCTCACAGGAGCTCTGGAGTCCTGGCACATTTGAATGCTGATGTTTGGTACGTTAAGCATCAGTAGCTGCTTAAAGCACAGTGCTAGCTTTTGTTGTTTTTTGCTTATGAAACTTAAATATTGGTCAAAACATGTTTTAGTGAGCAGAGATTTGATAAAAACTATCAGCTGTGTCCTTGAGCTTCCATTGCACTGYGATTTAACCAGATTCCCGATGCTGTTTTGGGAACAAGGTCAATAACGGTATAAATATTTTTGATTTAACCCCCGGAAAGAGGCAGTACTCTGTTCTTGCTAGGGAAACAACCGTTAGTGATTGATTYTGGGTAGGAAAGCAATTGTTGGTGGTTTGAAGGAGTTAGGAAGATGCAGTGCTGGAAACAGGGCTGGTGTAGCTGCGTAGGAACTTGCAGCAGTGCTTGTATCGTAACAGGTTTGTATTTGCCCGCTGATGTTTCATCATTTCTCTCTCCCTGGCATCTGTGCTGTTGGCTTTCAGAGGACAGCTCGTGTAGCAAGMGCACAAACACTGATGGAACACAGCATTGTCTCTGCTCTCAAACACCCAAGTTTTTTCTTCAGCRCTTCTGGGTGCTTGTTCACTCTGTAAATGAAACAGTGATTGAGAACAATAAAAATTCTTAGAAATTAGTAAGGCCACAGTCAGTGTTGCTTGAGGATGGCTTTTGAGTGTCTTTCTTTATATTACATTTTAAAATGTTATACAAAACCCCCTTGGAATTGCTCTCCAATAAATGTGCATGCTGTCCACCTGAAAGCAACCTCTGGTTCAATACTGAATGTTAGGGAAATTTGGAGGTAATTTTTAATCTTTTGTTAAACATTTTGCTGTTTCTTGTCACTCTCAAAAGACATGAGTCTAGAATTTAAAAAGTCTGTATCTATCTCTGGGTGCTCCTTCATGAGTTTCAACATTTTTGCATCCTTTCTGAGACTGTTGTCTTTCTAGACCCTTAATAGAAARTTCTTCAGTAGAAGTGAGTGGTAGCCAGCTCTTCTCAGGTACTGAGCACAGGATTCTCCATTAAATAAAGACCAAGTTTTGAGAGAAGTACTAAAGGCTCCAGGCAGTTGTCAAACAAAGCCATTTCATGGTAGAAGGAGATTGTGGGAGCAGCACTGCTGGAGCACTTCTCTAGTCCTTTAAGCTAAAAACTAGTATTTCACAAATTAATTTATCCTAACATAAGGAGATACATCACAAAAACAGGTCTGCAGCAGAGAGAATCAAGGAGAAAGTGGCATTTTGGCACAGGTCACTTGCTGACTCCTGTGAAACAATCTCTTCAAATTTTGCTCAGTCAGAGCTTTATATAATTAGATATAAAGCTGTCTTGACAGCTTATCTTTGCAAGCATGAGGCGAGCAGAGTCTAAATCTTACTTAAACCAAAATAAGAAGCTTTCAGAAGTTAATTTTGCTAACTCTTGCAGCTATTTGCTTAGGCTATTGACTTCACTGAGGGACTGTATTGTTGATGATCAGTGCAGAAATGATACCCCTGTTAAATAATTTCTTAGAAAAAACAAATCTTTGCTTTCTTTAGTTTAGTATAATTAACCACAATACTGAGAGGAGACTAAGTCTGCTTTTGAAAAATCAGCAATGCAGGATCTTGATCACCATGATAACTTGTTATCATGTCATCTTTTAAAATAAGAATTAATTACATGACTTTGGCTAGAAATGGAAGAGTTGGATTAGTAAGGGTGGAAGCTACTGACTGAGGTATCCAGAACAGTTTGACTTGGATRGAGCTGCTTAAAAAAGCAAGTTAAAAAGCTGTTAGAAGTGCATAGGTGGTGCACCTGTGCTGTTAGTGGCGTTTGCATCTTTAGAATGACTGGGAAACATTGTTTTTCTCATATTCCCTGTTACCAAGAAATAGCAACTACTCTTCTGAAATGCTGACTTACTGACATAAGGCAGTGTTGATTATCATACAGAGGAAGTAATAGCTTTTATGAGACAGTCTTACTGCAAARTATTTAGTGGACTGAATTAGTGTACATGTGCCCCTAAACTGGTGAGAAAGTAAGTTGATTTAACAGCTGAAAATCGTTGTTCTGGGGCAGTGTATACTCAGCTGTATTGATTCAGGTTTTAGAGAACTAATACATTAAGGATGGGCATTGTCTGCTTTATTTTTGAGTGGTCTTTTAAAGAAAAGCCCTTAAACAGATTGCAGAATTAGAATGCTGCTGTTGTATCTTCAGCCTGAAAAGTTCTAGTTGTGGTCCAAGACACCAGTCCCCTCCTGTGCTCTTTTTGTTAAAGACTGTACTGTCAATCCTACATGATGTTTAACAAATAGTCCCTTGGTATGTTTGTAGAAAATTCTAAATACCAGACATTTTATTAACTAACAGTAAATGGAACAGCACATGTTGATGAAGCCTCTTGACAGTGTTTCCAGGTACATATATTTACATATCATTTAGGAATGAGGAAGTTGGATTTAAACAGTAACAAAGGGCAAACAATGGTTTGGAGAGGAGATTTCAAGAGGATTACCTAGATTAGCCTTAGCACTGTCTACAAGTGTGCTCTTAACTCCTTGATGTGGAGTCTCTTCAATGTGTCTGTTGTAGGAATGCTTTTAATTGACTGTAACTTTTGACTTCTATGCTGATACTCTTATATCCCTCCTCCCTGGATTTGACAGCCATCAGAGTAGTGTAATGCTAAATGTTCTTTCCTTCCAAGGGATGATTCGGGAAGGTTGCAGACTAAAGCCAATTTTGTAAAGAATTTTAGCGTGCTGTGCAAGTCATCTTGTCAGCTTTTCAGTTTCCATTTGACTGGCTCATCAATCCTGATCATATTTAGGGCAGAGAAGCAGTGCAAACTAACAGCAACTAATGTTGCTTGTCTTTTGCATTTCTACAGGAGRGAGTAGAGGCTTAGAGGAAGGAAACAATACCGAGTTAAACATGTTGTCCTCTATGGATTCTTAGTATTTAGGTTGGAAATGTCAGTAATGTGYTGGTCTGGAGAATGAGATGCATCTGTTACCAATATTCAATATCTGGCTTGATGAAGGAAKAGTTGCACAGAGATGCTGTAAGAATTTAAAAATTCAGACTTTTGTAATGAACTGATTTGCAATTTTTTTAAACTTACCAGATACCTAATCTTCTATAAAACTGTGATTTGCTSTGCCAAAGGTGGAAAGTTTCTGCAACTTGAATTGGACTTATATCAGSCAGAGCCAAGAAGGAAGTAAAGGGATGCAATTTGTAACAATTCCTGACTGAAATAGTATTTCCGTTTCATACTTACTGAAACTCCCTGTAAAAATAGTTTTGAAAAAAACTTTCCAAATCCAAGGGTGCCTATTTTTAGTGCTATTATTCTTGTTATGTTAAAGTAGTATTAGAGTACTATTATTTCTGTTACGTCATTCCTCTATTATATTTGATTAGCACGAAAGCTTAGAGGAGTGGAGCTGATACATAAGTAATGAAGTGGTTCAGATGCAAGGGATGGTGCACTTACAGCTGGCTTCTCTCTGCTCTTCCCATGACACAGAACAATTCGAGTATGGCTGAAGAGAGACAGTGGGCAATACTGGCCCAGCATCTATCACACCATGTCATGTAAGTACAGTATGGATATGGTAAGAGATGGCCAGGCATGGATAGATTTTGTACCTGTGCTGCGTGTGGGAATACCTCCTTCTCATTTCCCCACGTGCTGGATTCCCTCAATGATCTTGATTTTGGGATCAAGATTTTTTGATTTGAAACTGCATAGTGGGCAAGACCTGTGTCAGCATTCTGACAGAACCACATCCGTCATCAGGTAAATCACTGTGGATCTGTAGCTGGAGGTGCCTCAAATGCTGACAAATGACTTGTCTGCCAATTAAGTGAGCTTTTCTAACCCCTAGCTGAAAGTTCAGATATAAGAATACTCTCTGCTTTCCAAGGGATACATTTTAATCTTTCAGGGCTCCCTTTGAGATAATTTTCGTGAGTTTGAGTTCTTAAGTGTAACCAGCTGTTGCTGTTAGCCTGTGTAAAATTCCTCTTGCTGAGTTGTACCTTGTGCAGGAAATTGTGTTTGCATATGGTTCCTATTGATATGTCTGAGTTACAGTAGTCATGTTCCTGTCCTCAGCTTCACATGTGGCAATTGAATTGTCTTTCCAAGGGATATTAGCTATGCAGACTAATTTCGAGCAAGCTACTTGAACAGCTTTTGTCCTGAGTGAAAGAACTGACTTCAATAAAAGTCGTGTGTATCCTAATGCCTCTATTTAATAGACTGTAATGTACTTGCTTTTTTTTKACAGCACCATGTTCTGCCATGGCTTATCATCATGACAGCAGACGGATATTTGTTGGCCAGGATAATGGAGCRATCATGGTAAGTTGTTGTGACTTTTCTTCAGAATGTAGGTTAGAAATGCTCAGATTGTCCAGGTGTCGCTGGCAGCTGACAGTCTGTTTTCTTTCCATTCATTTTTGAATGCAGCTATTGCTCAATRACTGAGCTTCTTGGCAGTTCAGCTGAGATGTACATGGGAGGACTGCAAGGCAAAGGTTCTTCTGGCTAGATGTGAGCCAGGTAGCCTCAATAAGTCCTTGAGCTGTTAGTGCAGCAGTGRACCCAAACAATTACACTTTGCCAARGAGTTGTTTTGAAGGGAGTACAGTAAGCTGGGCAGAGTGCCATGGTGATGCTCTGACAGGGTTGTGAACTGCAGCTGGCTTGCCCCTGGCCAGGAGTATGGATCTGTCTGTATCCTGCCATGCATGTCTCTGGATTTGCTTGCTGCAGATTTTTTATGCTGTAGAAATTTCAACACCAACACAAGCTCTAAAATTACAAGAAACTAGGTTCATTTATTTTCTTGCTGGGAATTCTTTCTTCTCTCTTTCTATACTCTTGCTGTAATTGCTCTCTTTCTCTTGGAGTGCAGACACCTGGCAGAACAGAAACTGGGTTTTATTTTTCTCTCCTTGGTAAAGGGGGAGAATCTTGTGACTCTCAGATGTTTTAATGGTTTCCTTTCCCTATGAAAAGGTCAAAATAATAACTGCCCCATAAGGAGCCAGAGTACAGTGTAAGTGTCATAAAAAGTGATTCTACAGATAASTGCTATGAATAGCTTACAGAGAACTGTATAGAATTCTAGTGATAACTGCTGGAAATTTTAAGTTGAGACTTCTAAAATTTCGTTAACTCTAATGGTTCAAACAGAGAACACTCACTTAAACCTGTCAATTGTGAAGTCACAAACATGCAGATCCTAAACACTACAAGATACAGTTTTGTTTGCTCCTGCTGGGGACAAATGAGATTTTCTCTCTTCCTATAATCTCCCTTCAGCAAACCTWATTCTGAAAGGATGTTTCCTGTTGAAAATTCAGTTCGCTTATAACCTTAATTTACAGTTGGTATTTCAGTGTGCTTTGCTCCAGCCTCAGAAGCTGCTTGTTTTTGTGAGATACACTGCTGCTATGCAAATATTGGTCTGTGAGGTTGATGCTCCTTTTTTGGTTATCAGTGTTGCTTATGCTATTGTGGTATCTTCTAACAATTTCACTTTGCTTTTAGGAGTTTCATATTTCTGAGGACTTTAATAAGATGAACTTTGTGAAGACCTATCCAGGTAAACTGTTAAGCACTATCTACACTAACATTTRTGTGAAGGGAAGGCATTAAAATGCTTKGGAACCKGAACACAGTCACAGATGAATCAAGTCCAGATATGCTTTAACTCTGACTGACCTTATAGTTKTCACTTAGTTAGGGATAACTGCCACAAGAAATTCTGTCAGAYGGCTGAGTCCAAGTTGTAGTCATTRTCAYKAAGTTCACTACATCATTAGCCTGCAAGTRTAGTGAGCCAGAACTAGTGAGCTCYGATTTTGCTCTTCAGCWGGAGTAGTTGTACTACACGAATGTTGGCGTAAGGGYTTTCTAAAGGTGCATCTTGGTAGTATTCTGTCTTTACTTTTTGTACTCAATGGGCTTAGTTACTTCTAGCTCAAGGTAAGAGTCTTTACCTTTTCTGTCATCTTAGGAGAGCAACAGGGATGAAAAAGAGCTTTTTTTCTATTATGTGGGAAATAGGGATTGTTCTAATATTTATAAAGATGCTAATTTCAGCATTTGTCCACACATCCTTTAAAGAAACACAAAATTCAATTGTTGGTTAAATTTGGAATATTAATGTGAAAGGCCTGAAGGAAGCTCTTAAAGACTGGAGATTATGTAGCAAAACAAAGTGCAGTTTGTCTTGTGACTCCCTGACACTGATAGAAGCAATGTTCTTGCTTGGRAGAAAAAGACCTTGTTCTTAAAGCAACAAAACCTCCCTTTATCCTAAGGGACATGATTTAACAATTCGGTCAAGAGAAGTGCATCTTGCGGGGCAGGGGAGGCCTCTTTCTAAAGCAAGTGTAACTTCTTCCTCAGTGKCAGCATTTTCCACAAATCTGGGTGGGATTTGGTTGCTGTCACAGGAAGCAGTTTGAATGCCAGGCAGTTTGAATGCCAGGACTAGATACCTTTCAGGTGCTTTGAAGTATGAACGTGAGCTTAGCTCTCTGGGGTTAGGAAAAGATGCGTTTAGAGAAAGAAATTCAAGCTTTTAGATGTGTTATGTTACTCCCCAGAAGTCTTGGGCTAACTAAGAGGAAGCTGAGAGTTTCCCTGTTCCTTAACCTTGGGTATATGGGCTGAACTYGGCTTTTCTTTCTCTGGGAGAAAACCTTAAATTAGCTGACAGATGCATTTGGTTCGCTTAAGCTATTCAGAAGGCAAGTACTGAGCAGAACGAACCTTTTCATTCAGCCTAGATGCAAGTATAATATAATGGTAAAAGATCTCCCTGGGGCATTGCCTAGATACCATCTTCAACCTATGTCTGTCTAAATTAGAATGGAAGTACACAGCACTTTGATTTTTGGGAAAAAATAGCCTGAATCTTTTTCTTCTCGCAGCTCACCAGAATCGAGTGTCTGCTATTACTTTCTGCCTGGCATCTGAGTGGCTTATCAGCACAGGTCATGACAAGTGTATCAGCTGGATGTGCACCAGGAGTGGGAGTATGCTGGGGAGACACTACTTCACCTCTTGGGCATCATGTCTACAGTATCCTTTGATAAATGGTTGCTATCCTGAAGCTGGAAGAGTACTTTGTTCCTTTACCTCAATTTGTTCCCAACTTTTCAGGTAAAAAAAACTAGAGTGATATGTCTTGATTGTCTGCTGACTCTTTTTCTCATTAGAAATGTAATACCTTTATTTCTGTTAGTGGTTGTTAGATAGAGATCTGGAGTTGCAGAAATCCCTGTCTGTACTAGTTCTAATTTTGAGGTGTTTTGTCCATAGCATTTTGTGGCAATGACTGTATCTGTAGCCTGGCCTGTAGACTTCCTGGCAAATCATTTTGTCCAACAGTTGCCACTGTGCATCYTTCTAGAGCATAAAACATAATGAAACCCCTTTGGACTGCTTTAATTTTTCTGTCTTTTCTCAAGTTAATATTCTCTGTCTTTAAGCTGTGGGAAACATTGAAATTTTATTCGTTACCAGTAGTAATTTGTGTGCAGTTTGGTTTCTGCAAACTGCATTTAACTGCAGTATTTGCAGCTTAGGCACTCTGGTTGTCTGTTCAGCTGTAAGTACTTCAGGGCATTCTTTACTCTATGTAAAAGACTTACAAACCCAGTAACTTGAAATGTMGTTCACGTATCAAAGCTTTTGAAAGAAAATTAAATACTTGAAATTCTAAAACTATTTTTTAGCACTTGTTAATGGTGGCAGTTTAGATGTGGCTGGACAGCAATTAAAGGTACTGGTTGCTGTATAAGGTTTAATGGCAATAGTGTTTTAGAAGTGGTAATATTTGAAAGCTGAAAAGGTCAACTCCCTCRCTTRAAAAYAYGAAGAYCTCTCAGAGCARCTGTATACCATGTGCTGGTAAGAAGCTGGGATGAAAGCTCAGTTCCCAGCAGCATGTCTGGGCCTTCTGAGGTCTCTGTGCAGACCCTGCCTTACTAACTGAAGAACTGTCAGATTTGTACTGTTGTACTGCTGCTGTTTTTTTAAGAGTCCAGGGGAATTGTGTCCCATAAAACATTCTGGGTGCAGTTCACCTCAGCAGAGTGCAGCACAGAATAGGTTAAAGTTGTGTCTGTTGGAGACCAGCTCACAGCAGTCTGGTGAACAGTCTGAGCCTCACTGAATTCAATGGGTTCTATAGCTAATGCTATTGCAAATAATGGTACAGTTTATTATTAAAATGGAAAAAGAATATGACCTTTTATATCAATATAAAAATAAATTTCCACTGAAGAGCTTGACATTTGAAAATCCATTGTAATTGATCTGCCTTTGGACTTGTGTTGGAAGAACCAGCTTTCTGGTGTGTGTGTACTCGGTGCTTGGCCTCAATATCAGAAGATTCCTTAGAAGTTGTTTGTTAATGATCCTATGTGTAAGTTTCTGAAAAACACAGCAGTGTGCCTAYTCTTTACTGGATTAGTGGGGATAATGCAAGTCTGAACTTCTAGGATGAAGAAARGATCACATGTTCAGGGACTTAGAGGATTTGTTGAAAGCAAATTGTTTATCACAAGATCCTGAAGGCTTAAGAGAGTTCAGAATGTCATCAGATGGTAAAGCCTMAGCATTTTCACTTAGGGTGGTGGGCTTTTTGGTGCACTGTCTTTTTAAAGTTAGCCTTTTCTGCTGCATAGCAGAGTCTGCTTTTCTATCTGCTGCTTGTGTTTTCTGCAGCTCCAGGAGGGCACCTAACTTAATACACAGCTTTTGGGTTACGTGGTGTCAGCGATGTATGGTCTTTCGTAGCTCTTGCTTATATTCTGAATGACAAAAGTCTTCTAAAAGCAGCAAATTATCAAGTTCCATTGGCTTGCTGGGCTTTGGTTTCTGAAGTTCATWGTTACCTCGTGACAAAAACTGAGTATCAGAAAACTGTTACGAGCTGTAATGCTTTTGCCCAACCTGCCACCTTGTTAATGGATCCCATGGTAGGATGTGGTGTGACTTTCATCTCAGTGTTAACTGAGATGACAGAATCCTTTCTGAAATACAGCTCAGTTTTCAATACCACACCCAAGGACCTGTATTGGTAAACTTGGAAGTGCAGAGAACAAGASAAGAAATGAGATAGTTTTCTAGCATATTAGTARCTGATATCCCCAGGAGAAGAAAACACAAGGATGCTGACCCTCCACAGTGAGTTCACCTTACRGTGAAGTACACGCCCAATGTTCCRGCTATGGCCAAGGTGAGACTAAGGRTTTATAGGAGAARRTACTAGGTGAGACTGTATGCCACCCAGTGTCAGGTGCTCCTAATGGTTGCACAATGCTCTGCATGCAAAAAGTAGCCTAATGAGTTTTGGCATCTTGTAGACAAGCATGAGTAAATAAGTAAATGAGTGTTCTGTAAATATCTGCTAGAAATGGCCTAAAGTACTTGGCTTGCCTTAAACTAGGGCATGGATTATCTCATGGCTTTTCCCAGTGGCTTTCTAAAACTCTTCTCACTTACTTTCCATACAGTTTTACTTGCACATGTGGGGAAGTGTGATGGGAAGAAARGAATCAAAAAGGTTTATTACAGTCACCAACTACTTTAGAGGTAATTATGTAAATATTCATCTAGTGTATTATTAAAATGTTCTTTTCCAATTTTTTTAGACTCCGTAGCTGACCGTTTTATGTAAAATACTCTCCAAGCAAATGAAACTTCTCCTTGACTGGTGTTCAGATATGATCATGAAACTCAGCATGCATTTGTTGGTGATTATTCTGGACAGATCACTCTTCTGAAGCTTGAGCAGAATACCTGCTCAGTTATCACAACCCTCAAAGGGCATGAAGGTAAAGTAACTCCTTGTCTTAAATCCACTGGTCCCAGATACAGTACCACGTTGTAAGTTGGGGTGAGATGATCAGTTGCAATCTGCCTCTTAAGGGTAAACACTGGATGAAAAACCAGTCCAGGGTAGTGATTATCATAAGCTGTTCAAAGCTGTACATATGAATTCCTGTTAAAGGACAAATACATTCTTGATGAGGGGAAATCTTAGCCTTGTAAATACAGACAGGTATTTTTATTACGGCTTAAAAATAAAGGTCAACATGCATTCAGTTAAACACAAGTTATCCACTAGATGGCCACCTTTAAAAGCTTTCATCTTTAACATTGACGAGAAAGGATGAGAAGTCTTATTTTTTTATTTCTTTTTTTTCTTGTAGGAGACCTTGTAATGTTATGATAATACCTAAAGCAGCTTTATCAAAACACTAGTCTAGATTCTAAAAAGCCACTTAATTCTTCCCAGCACAAACATTGCTGTTTTGATCAATCTTTGTGACTCTATTTCAGTTACTTACATTTAGCTGAAACTAAGCTATAAGCAAGAAATCTGGAGAGCTTTTTTGAATCAAAAGTGCCTAGTCTAAGGCAATTGTCTCATCTTATATAGCATAGCTGAAGTCCTTATATTAAATGAAAAATCATGTGGTGCATAACATGATATGGAGCCACTGTCTGCTGTYGTGAGTAAGGCAAAAATGCAAACCACAGAATAATGTGTAACTTGGTAATATGCTGAGAAAAATCAACAAGACAATGCCTTTTCCCACGTGGTACTGGCATCTTTCAGATCAGCTGACAGTTTGCATGTGGGTAGGGATGAACTACTGGGTCATGAGTCTCTGACCCACTGCAAAAGGCTGCCTTGTTTAACAGCTGTARGTATAGAGTAGGCTTTGTTAAAGCTGGGTAGACTCCTGATTTACAGATGACTGTAAAATGATATAGCTGGTTTTGAATGCGGGAGGCAAGTTGAGAATTTCTAGTGTTAAATGTCTCTTCCTCTTTCAAGCAGAATTTCTGATTGTTTAAGTTAAGAGCAAAACAATTCTCTTGGCCCTAAAGATTCCTTTGCCTCTCTGTATGTGTGGTCTGTGTTCGAATGCAGCTCCTTGGCAGATGTTACTGTTAGTCTGAAAGCAGTATGGCTGAGTGGCACTTCTTACAGGGTGTATTCTGTCTCTTGAGTGATGGGCTTCCAAACACAGCTTCAGCAACTCTGTCCATACAGCAGCCAGCTTTGGCTTATCCATTTCCCTATGGGGACTGTGATCCTTAAAACAAGAATTGAGCTAGCATAAAAGATGATTTCAGGGTCCAAAACAGGTTTTTCTTCAACTGGTATAATACTAGTATTTCATCTTTTTTCTTTTTTTTTTTAGCAAATCAAATTATGTGTAACCTTTTTTCTTCTACAGAATTTGTGTAATGTTGTCAAGATCTAGTAACTCTAAACTTAAATGGCATCTGGTTCTTTGAGTGCAGCTGTTTGACAGACTTCAAAAGTCTGATTTCGTCTTGTTTGCTTTCTAGCTCTTGCTAAATGTGACTTCATAAGCAAGCAGTGTTTGCTTTGCAGTTTAAATTGTTTTAAAGTTTGTTCTCAGCTTCCAGAATTCACCATGTATAACCACCTGCTCTGTGTGATGCTGAGATAATACTCAAACTTTGTGCCTTTTGTGGTGCACAAGCTGTTCCCAAATAGGTCAGTCTGAAAACAGTGTAGTGCTAAATGACACAAAAAAACCCCAAAAAACCCTCTTGCTCCAGAGCATTGGAAAGGACTGATTTGGCTCCAATTACCATTCATCATCTTGGTTTCAGACTAGCAAGGCTTTTGATGACAACTGRGCATGGAAGGATGTTTCAAAGGGAAGGATCTCTGCAAGGGAATAACATGTCCCAACTTCCCAGCTATAGGTGGCATGAGTAATAAAATTACTGCTTTAGTCTCCTGGCTACTTACTGTGCATATGGGTTTAGTAATACGGGTGCTACTGTCAGATGACTCATTTCTTTCTATCCCTGACTAATTCACAGCCACACTGGGCCTTCTGAAATCTAGTTTTGTAATTTAGTAAGTAGAGGCAGATTTGCTAASAGCAGTGAAACTGTCACTTCATTTCTTAGTCCAACTATTTTAAGGYTGTAAATGGTTATGTGAGGGAGTTTCTTTACCTGGGAACACTGTGAGCTGTCCTGCAACCACTGACCAAGCAGTTCACTGTGTTGTAGGTATTCRTTTCTGCTTGGCAAGTGTTAGTACTTTTCTCTTCCAAAGCTCACATAGCAGTCTGGCAGCTCTTAAAGTCATCTACCTAAATACAAGGGGTAGGATTCTGACGTTCTGCCTTATGCTTTATGTAACTGTTTTCTTAGGGACATTCTGTTCTATTGTCCAGTACTCCTTGCCTCTCTCTCAGGCCTGCATCTTGCTTTTGGGTGCTTCCTTTGCCTTTAGGCTTTGGATATRTTACTGGACTAAGGCAGCACCTCAGGTTTCWGTTTAATGCTCCAGAAGGGCATCAWTGTGTTGGGGAGCCAGTCCCTTAGATCTAACTGCAGAATGTTCTTTCCTAGGGAGTATAACTTCCCTGTGGTGGGATCCTGTTCAACGACTGCTCTTCTCAGGTGCCTCTGACCACAGCATTATCATGTGGGATATTGGTGGAAGGAAGGGGCGAACGCTGCTGCTCCAGGGACATCAGTATGTAATGGAATCTTGTTTTTCATATATGTTCTGTAATGAACACACAGTCCCAGGAAGACTGAGTAGTGTGGCAAGATATTTGAATCATTATGAATAATGGAGAAAATTACTCTTTGYAGAACCCTGAGGACTTTGAGGGGGAAGAAGAATAAGCAGTACTAGGAAAGTCTTACTGAKAAATCCATTTTCTTGTTCGTGTTTAATATGTTCTTATTACCGTGTTTTAGAAGTAACACAGAAGTAATTTATAGATGGGTAAAATTCCTAAATCATCTAGTTTGGCCTTCATGTAAAAATTGCATGTGTCTATATTGTAAATACTGCGCTGAGTTACCTGTGAGAGGAGGGCTAGAACCTTAATGCATAAGCACACTCATGTATCYATATAAAACAAGCTTCAGTATGTTCCTGTACTCTGTCTCTTTCTGTCAGTGAGGTGATAAACTGACTGGCTAAATTACAGGGGTGGTGTCTCAACTTCAGAAAGTATGTTACATCTCCCCTCTTCTGAAGTTGAGGTAGTCGTCTGTATTTAATCAACTCTTAATTTTTAGAGGCATAACACTAGCTGCCATTTTTAAATGTAAGGCTTTAATTCAGTCTTACAGGCAGTTCACCGCTGAAGATACATTCTACTTAGAAATGCACTGGTAGTGGAGATTCTGTTTCTGTTTAAAGATATGTGTGTATAGTGGATTCTCCTCTTGTCTAATTTCATAGATGCCTCCATCTACTTTTGAGTAAAACGAATAGCTTTAGGCRTAGAACTCTTGTTCTACATTAAAGATTTAGTTTTATGGCTAAAGAATTAGTAATAAAGTACTGGTTACAAAAAAGTAAACTGAAGTGACTGGAGTTTATAATGCTGTTACTGCTGCCTCACTTGTCCTGAAGACTTGTAACAGTTTTTCTTCAAACACCACACTTAGCATCAAACTTCWTACTGAATGGGACAGTAAGTTCTGAGAAGCAGAATGACTTTTAAAATTCAACTTAGCTGTAGCAAAGCAGTCTGATACTACTCAGATCCTTTGTTTAGTTTCTTAGGGTAGTCTTTTGTTTTGCTATGACTTTCTTTAGGATTAAGTTGTCTTATTGGTGAATGCGTGCTTTGCTTTGCAGCTACATGCTGATTTACAGTCATTTGTTAGCAGAAGTGGCAGCTCTGTCTGCTTTTTAGCTGTGTCTTGAAACAAAAATTTCTCTTTTATTTTTCCAGTTGTCTCTGTTTTGATAGGTGGCTTTCTTTGCTGACACAGAAGAGTACTTGCACACACACTCTGAGCCAGCTGACACTCAGTTCACTGTCAGGGCTTACTGCCAGCAAATGTTAACATGGAACTGCACCTCTGGTATTCTGGTCAAGCCTGTAAGAACTCTCAGCAACATCCTGATGCTAGGGTAGTGCTCAGATGACAGCATGTATTCACTCATACTCAGAGCTCTACTTAGTGGACTTAGCAAACTGTTTGGAAATCAGTTTTAGGTTTCCTCAGTAGCTTTACAAGGATAAATCAGGGTTTGCTGGGAAACCAAGCTTTATTTAAATACCTGTGGGTAAATAGTGTGTGCTTTGTTTGCAGTGACAAGGTGCAGGCTATCTGCTACATCCAGCTGACACGGCAGCTGGTGTCTTGTTCAGCTGATGGGGGAATTGCAGTTTGGAACATGGATATCAGCCGAGAAGAGGTAAATTCATGTCCTAGGTCAAAAACGTAGACCTTTCCCCTTTTCAGAGACTACTGTGACTTTCTTGAGTCAGTTCTGCAGGCTGCTTTCCTCATGTTGTCTGACACTTTAAAGCTGAATGATATTATTGGAACCTGTTTTGTTCTAGTGGCTGTCCATGCTGCATTGCAGTAAATGGGYTCCCAGGACAGGAAAAGTGCAGGACATGCTTGGGACTGTTAGAGTTTTATCTCAGACAACAGGTTCACTGTAGCCTTTGCTGCTGGAACAATTTAAAGCAGTCAAACTTTTTCAGTAAAGAAACCAATGGACTGTGCTTCAACAGTCTTAAAATTTCTCAGCTCATGTCAAAGCAGGTAAAGAAGTGAGGCAGATTTTGAGATGCAGCTCAGAAGGCAGAGGTTCAGTCCCCAGGCAACATTTGTTTTGAAGAACTCAGTGCACAGCAGTTGACCTGGCCATACACTTTATTTCTGCATCAGTTCATATCTGTGGTGGTGCAACTGAGAATGCTCTTGTTTTCTTCCTATCAGTAATGTGAGTGAATTGTTAAAAAAAATGTTTTGTTGTTCCAGCTTTCCTTTTGTCAAGTCTCATGGAGACTTCCTCGTGAGATGTATAAAGTTGTATAGAATGCACATGTTCAAATTCAAGTCTATGTACTAAAAATATTGTGCCTCTCTATCTCTTACAGGGATGTTCAGTTAAAGTATCTGAGAGCTGAAATGTGTAAAAGCTTTATTCTCATTTGTTTTAGCCCATTTATGGCAGGAAAAGTATGTGGGTGGGAGAAGGGATGCTTAATGAAGATGTGGGAAGGATGGAAAATGCAGATGACTTCCTAGTTATTTCAAACTGCAATCCCATGAAAGTAGAAAATATAGTTACTGAGAGAATTTACTTCTGGACACCCCCTCTCTTAGAGGGGATGGTTGCCTCATAGCTTGTTTAGCTTGGATTATACTGGTCCTTAAAAGTCATCCAGGCAACCAGAGCAGCAGCCTTTGAATGCCTGYAGCAGGTTTAGTAACTCAGATGTTTGAATAATTTTTCTTTTTAAGGCAGTAGCATATTACTGTAGGCTTAAGAAGTATAGGAGGCGTATAGGTAACACAAGTGTATTCACAAATAACTGTATTCTTGGGTTTGGGATTTTTGTACTAAACTTTCTATGTACTATATCCTAGGCAATTTATTGTTGTAATGTCAAGAAGTGAGCCAGGGCATCTTTCCAAGTAAAACTGTACTTTGGGTTCTTAAAACAAACTTCCTTGACAGTTGTATGAGGGGAAAACAATTCTGATTGCTTGCATCTCCTGCTCTTTTTTAGGCTCCTCAATGGCTAGAAAGTGATTCCTGTCAGAAGTGTGAACAACCTTTCTTCTGGAATATAAAGCAGATGTGGGACACAAAGACGATAGGGTTGAGACAGGTGAGATGGCTGGTTTCAGTGCTTAGCTGTACTTCAGCACTTGAGCAAAATGTAAACAGGAAACCACTAAGGCTGGTAGATATTTTCAACTCTTGGTATTTTTGCTGCTTAGAAGTGAAATGTTACAGCTTCTAGGCACTGCTAAGACATTTCCAAATTCTGGGAAAGTGTTGCATCAAACTTCTGTCACAGGTCAAAGCTGACTGTACTAGGAGTGCTCTGTTGGATTTCTCTGAATATTTCCATGCTTTGTAACTATGGACAGCTAATCCTCAAGTGTTGTGTTAAATGTCAAACAGTGCCCCTTAACTGAGCATGTTGGTGCTTACTCCAGTGAAGCAGTCAAGGCCCTGCTCTTACTRTACCAGAACATGAAAGCTTTCCAGGTAATTTTCTTTAAGAAGGGACAGGACAGACACCAAGATAATTTATCTGTTTCTGGCATAGACTGTTTTTTCCTTGGCTGCTTGTTCCACCCTCTTTTTCCCCTTCTCCTAGAAGGAGCTTGCAGGATAGGAGGATGTACACAGAGAATATGGAGATAAATCCATTAATGATCCAAACGTCTGTTCAGAACTCCAGAGACCTTGGTCTTTGGTTGAAGTAACAGAAGATTTCCTAACAGATTGCTTTCTATCAGGTTGCAAAACAGAAGCTTTGTTAAGTGACAGTGTATAGTGATTTATTTGTTTGTTTTCTTTGTCCTCCATGAAGCATCATTGCAGAAAATGTGGGCAGGCAGTGTGTGGCAAGTGCAGCACCAAACGGTCGAGTTACCCAATCATGGGATTTGAGTTCCAGGTCCGTGTCTGTGACTCCTGTTTTGAGTCAATCAAGGATGAAGAGTGAGTATTAAGGAGTAATAAACTGCAGTAGCACTGCTGGTGTGCAGAAACCCTTGGGCTTGCTCCACATCCACACACAATGCTACAAACACACCCAGCTGACTCTCCAATAGGCCACCTTTGCCTTGGGCACTCACAGCACTGATGGCAGAGATCCCCCATCTGGCTCTGCAAGTGCATTGGATGAGACAGGGAATTACAACATTTTTATCCATTTTACTTCTTCTTTTCCACGAGCCCACATCTAGACTTGAAATATGTCTCAACATTTCAATTTAGTTAAAAGCTATTGATTGCACTTAACGTTGCTAATGCTTGACAATGCATTACAGCTGCCAGGATATATATGTATTAGTTCATGTACACTTCCTAAAATCTACTTCTTTGCAAATATTCTTCAGAGCTCAACACTATTTTCCCCATGCAAGTAAATTGGGTGAAGCATCATTTGCTGTTTCATTAAACTTGTCTTAGAAATGCAGGAACCCCTTTTGTCTCGATATGAGCAGAGTAATCAGATGTGAACATTTTGGGGGTGTTTGGGACTTTTTATTGTGTTGCTGGGACCTTTTGTTTGCTTGTRTTTTTTTGAAAAGTGAGATGCTGTGCCCTAGTTGGCTTCTGTAGCCAGCAGGGAAAAAATGTGGCTGAGCTTGACTTCGTTAACCAGGAGCAGAAGTATTTGCTAATGCAGTGTCCCAGTTCTGCTCCAGTATTATTAACAGTCAGGCTGCAGAAGGCCAGGAAATGTCACACCTGTATAACTCCACAAGCAGTCCCTTAGCGTGACTTGCTAATTTAATTCTGTCCCCTTTAATATGGTACTGCGGCTCTTGGAATTGATTTACTAGTGCTTGAGCAACTTAATTTTCTTTTAAGTTTATTTTGCATCACTATGATGATGCCATGAAGCTTCRTCTAATGGCTGGCTTTCATTTCATTTCAATTGTTCTTGTGCAGCCGTACTTCTTTGGCAACCTTTCATGAAGGAAAACACAACATTTCACACATGTCCATGGACATCTCCAGAGGGCTAATGGTGACTTGTGGGAGTGACCGGATTGTGAAGGTATTCCTGCATCTCTTTCCTGCATTTCTTAGAGATATGTAATAGAGTTCATTTTTGTATATTCTTTTTYTCTTCCTGACAACTATTGCTACAAGCTATCTGTTGTGGGAAGAAGGAATTTTATTGGTCAGCCTGTTCTTCCTGCAGCTGAATAAGAAAATGACTTSTAACTCCACTGTATGGCGTGCAGGTGTTGGATCTGTTACTGTTGTGTCACTGAACAAACACCCAGGCATGGGCAGCAGAAGAATCTGCCAGCAGATTCTTAAAATCGCAGACCTGAGGATATGTATGGGTTCCTTTGCTCTGAGCTCCATGGCTTGGAGCATGGCCATTGAAAGCCCTTTTTATGACACAGTGATATGCAACTCAGACTGATACGGAATCTTGCTGTGCTTGAGCTCTACATTCACTGTGCATATCAGAACTGAGACTGTGCCTGCCTGTCCTTGTTTTGCTGTAAGCATGACAAACTGCACGGCACTTCTTAAAACAAAACTACACAGAAGTGCAAAAGACTCTCTTGAGCTCCAGATTTTACTTTTATAACTCTTACAACATTTTCTTCAAGCATAGGTTAGAAAGGAATTGTTATCTTGTGTCCAGGGATATATTTATGTTTGTTTCTATGCCTCTTGCACAAAGACCTGTTATGTCTTACACTAATGCTGTGTAATTCTCCACAATATTCTCTTGCAGATCTGGGACATGACACCAGTGGTTGGTTGCAGCCTTGCCACTGGCTTCTCTTCCCGCTGATCTCCTCAGTGGCAGGTTTATGCACCTTATGTACAGCAATACGCACCGAATGAATGGAATCCTCCTCAAGAATATTACTGCAAACACTGGTTGCTTGATTCTCCTCCTGCTGCTGTTCCAGGATGGACAGTCACCTTTGTAGAGCACAGCTTTTCTGTTGGGCTCCCCGGGAATCTCCGTGGTGCTGAAGTGCGGTTCCGCAGCCTCTCAGACTGACATAAATGGCTTATCTGCAATATGACACCTGGATGGAAGGACCTGTTGTCTCTTGGTTTACATATGTAGTGTTAACAATGTGCTATCTCTGCTGATATATCTTGTACAGATACCTTGTAGCTAAAACATTACCGGAGTAAAATGAGTGTAGTAAATTCAATTTGTGCAAATAGTAAAATAACTTATTCTCTCTTCCAAAAAGCAGTTCTGGTAAAATGTTTTTGAGCAGTCACTGTCTGAATTGTCTCCAAAAGGTATGTTGGTTTTATTCCTGTGGAAGGAGTAGATAGTTCACAGTGGCAGGTAGCTTATTTCAGATGAGATAGTAAGAGAACYTTTGATTACACAAGATCCTTTATTGGCTTTCTTGTAGTGTTTGTCTTCAAGTTCAGTTGTTAGTAAAATCACTTTTGTGGAACAGCTGTTCTGTGTAGGTAGCTGGTGAGTCTGCAAACAATCCTGGGCCCTTTATGTAGTGTTTTAGCATAGCTGATAAACTTGTGTAGTTATGAAAATGTGCAGCCCACCTACTCTAAAGACTGGTCATAGATATGAGCCATGTACTGTGACAACTATAATGTTGTTGGAATGGTAACGTAAACAAATCTGCCTTGTTACAGGTAATGGTTAAGAAAAAATGGCCAGCTAAATTCTAGAGATCTTTTTGTGGAAAGGCTGATGTTCTTTAATGTTAGGGAACCTGTCTCTGCTAAAGTACAGCATAAATTCAAATACTGTCTTGATGTTGCTTAAAACGTAAATACTGAGCAATAATTACTGAGGTACAGAACAGCTGCTTTTTTTCCCTGCACCTAGGTCTGTTAATCCTGAGATATCTGTATTGATCCTTTCCTGTGTCAAAGCTGAGAAGTATGAAGAAGAGCGAGGAGGCTTTTATGACTGTGCAGTTGGCACTTAAAGGAAATAACTAGTGAGATACTGTCAATAAACCAGTTTGTCAGTTGAGTGAATCTCCTACATTTGAATACTGTAAAGAGAATTTATTTTGTAACTTCGGAAGCTGAGGTGGTCTGTCATAGAGTTTAAGCTTGGAGCTGTTCAGATTGATCTGAAAATAGATGCAGTATGTGTGAGGACAAAAAATAAGGGTAGGTCAGCTTGCGTGGAACTGATGGTGTTGTACAATTATCAAAGGTAATAGGCTATTTCTGGCAGAAGAGTTGAGGGTTAGACTGTCTTTAYTTACAGCAACAATCAAGTGGTGCTATAGTGGTAGTGAATTCAAGTGCTAAGTGTGGAACTTGACACTRGTAATCTTCATTGGACCATGCTGTAGGCTGAAATAGATAAAGATCATTAATACATCACKATTTACCTGCATTTAAGCCAAAAATCTGATAGTCTCCAAAGGGCATTAGAATCCAGAGTATGATAGTTACTGTTACTTTGTCTGCTTTTCCATGGGCCTTCTCTGGAAGTTTTGTGAATTCTTTTAATTTGCTAGCCTTACTAGGCCACTGAAGACTAAACAAATTCACTCTTGTGGGGATCCCAAAACTTGTCTTGCCTTCARTACAGGATTTAGCACTTGTCACACTGATTTGATTTAAATCTGGCTACATGCTGTATAGCTTGGGCTTTTTGGGGAAAGCTTATTTCTAAGCTATTGAGAGAAAATCAGCTTGAACTGGAAAAGCAGTTGCAGCTTTCTGCTCTGAAGGTCTTCACCCTTCTAAACTAGGAAGGAAGGTGTTGCAGGGGTGAATAAGTTCTGATAATGCTCTGCATTCACTTTCAGACTTCTTCCTATCTGATTCTGGAAGAGAGCAGAAGCCTTTTTCCTCACAGCATGTAAGGCAGAACATGAGATACAGTGCTAGAACTGTTTAATATCCCTCTGTAACAGGGTAGGAGGATCTAGGGTGTGAGTTAAGCTGGGAGATTGMTGTAGATGTGCAATGAGTACCGTATTTTTCAACCCAGATATTCTGAAACTTATACTGATACTGAGGTGTAAACTCCTTTGCAGTTAGCACTCCAGAATTCAGCGTTTTTAGTTCTGATTACTCAGTGTGCCCCTGCTCAGCACACAGCTCCCCCCTCCCTTACCTGTGAATACTTCCTGTGCTTCTTTACATTATGTTTTTGCCACTAGATAATATATTCTCTACTGCCTAAGGAATCTATTTTCTATAACTGATATACTTAAAGATAGTGTTGGTTCAGATATAATGACAATTATGGCCACTAAATCGTTAGTCTTTTAAGTATACTTTTGGTGTTGAATGAGTAATGCTTACAAACCACTAAAGAGAGATTAGTTTTGTTTATAAACAACTATTTTGAAAGCACACACTCTCTCATGGAATTGAGCATACTTCAAGTATGTCAGCTCAAGTGTGCAGTTACTGAGAAGCCTTCATTTGAAGCATTACAGGTCTCGTTTGTGTAACTTCTTCCATTGGAGCAGGGAAGGGGAGCAAAGGGTACTAATATGTGCTAATTCTTTCCTAGTTGTATTTCTGTACCCTGCATAGTTAAGAGAATCTAGATAAATCTGTCCTTTGCTCCTTCTTGTCTGTTTTTTAAACTTTGATTACATGTACAATAAAATACTTCTTGATATTCACTTAGTCTATTTGGGTATCCATCTTTTTTTTCCATCCTGTGAATGCACAACAGCTCTGGCTGTTGCTTTACATGCCCCATATACAAAGTGTAGGTTGCTGGGAGAGCTTGTCAGGTGTGTTGTATTGGAACTGAATGAAGAAGGGCAAAGGCCATAACAAACCCCTGAGCAGAGCAATGAGGAACTGCTGTGTGGTCCCAGTTAGGGATGTGTAACCCTATCCTGTGTGCTGCTTGCCAGCTCAAACAGACCTCTTTGGTTCATCTGGCACCCCCTGAGAGAGGTTCTTACCTACAGACTACCAGAGGATCAGCCCCTTTCCTGAGATCCYTTGGAAATGTCTGAGGTGCCAAAGAAATGCTAATTTTGCTGGATGGGGTGAGCAGAGCCTACGATATAATATACTGAAGACACAAACTGCAGCCATAGGAGGTGGTTATACATGTTTCATACTTTCTCACAGAGAAAGGATGGAGATAAACTGGGAAGCATCCTTATCCCTCACAGCCTTCCCAGGCCCAAATATCTGGCTTTGTAACACATAGAAGGCCTGAATATTGGTCGATTAAAATGTTSTACAGCTCACTGTTTCCTTGGAGTATTTGAGAACCATAGAGGGAATCTGGAAGAGTGGTGGCTAAATAGCCTGTGTGGGATACCATACAGTAATTTTTTATTTTTTTTTTTAACGTATAATTTTAACCACCTTAAATTTCTAACCTTTCACACAGTAAATTCCCATGTTTTCTAGTTCCAACAAAAACTGACTGGAAAAAATGAAGCTGTTGCTGTTCTGTAGTCAGAAAAGCCTATTTGGATGCCTATGGTAGACCATTTTGTGTTTTGAATAAGGCATATGAACTCCAGTTTAATTTGAAAATGTTGGAGAATTGCAAATGGTGTCCTTGTAGTGAAAGCTCAAAAACAGATGTATTCAATTTATAATTGAGAATGCACAATTGATCACTTCTCAAACTCCTGATGTTGAAAACTTCATTTAAATTTCAGATAGCTGTGAGCCAGATCAAACAAACTACRAAGTTTTTGCCTTTAGAGGGTGTAAGGGCAGGGGCTCTAAACTCATTAATATGTAAAACCTAATTGTTGAACAGATTCAAAGACAGTGTTATTTGKTTTATTACTCTGGCAGTGGAAGTACCAAAATAAAACGGTACTAAAATCTATACAATCTGTACTTTTTTCATARCATTAAATATAAACTATTTTACAAATAGTAAACTGAAATATATGGGGTCATTAGAAACTTTGCCTGCTGCTTCTATGCATGAGCCTTTTTCCCCAACAGACCAGCAGCTCAGAGTTGCTGTATGTGCTGTTTGATTCACAAGTGTATCAGTTTTAGTGTATATTCTGTGCTCACACAGAGAGATAGAAGAATGTTCTTTGACATACTTTTGATGTGTGACATTAATTTTGGTGGGATTGACTGGCTTGTCTGCAGAAAATTTGGTACATTCATTCCTAAATTGCTTTGTGTCACAAAGATATTGTGGATTGTGGAGGTTCATGTTTTTCTCCTCTTTACCTTGTTTATAGGGAAATACACAGATTAGAGTTTAACTTGCTCCTAGTTTTACTACTATAGCTGTCTTTCAAGTAWAGAAGATACCATGCCTCTCACTATCTATACTGAGTCTTTTTTTTCTGTATTCTGTTTTCAACTGTTCTCAGAATCTCCATGTATCTGTCAAAACTTTGAGTTTTCATGAGCTCAGGTGCACTCTTGCAGCTGATTAAGAGTGGGCACTGTTTGCCAGTACTGCTTGATGGCACTGCTGCTAAGCCATAGCTGGTTTTCTGTTCAAATACTGTCCTTTGTCTTTTCCCTGTTCTCATTMATTTCTCTTTCTTTCCTTCATAGTTTGTGGCTCCTTCTCCATTTCCTCCACAGCAGCACATCCATGTTGGATTTTGGCTCCCTGGGACAGGTGATAGCAGCTCTTGAAGCACAACTGCCCTGCTCACCTGAACCTCCTGATCTCTCACAGCTGGTCTTGCAGTGGCTGAATAAAGGAAGACCAAGGCAGCAGACTTGGAAGGTGAGAGTAATTTAGGAAACATCCCATCTCCTTATCCCAGTTACAAGGCTCCATCGCATTAGGCACCCATAGCAGCTGTAACTCAGTAAATGGTCGGGAAGGTGTGGAGTAAACACAACTGTTGAGAGTGTTTACAGGGTTTGGAGAATGTCAGGGTGATTTCTGTGAGGGTAGAGAATGGCATGAGTCTAAATGGTGTTTGTGGGATACTCAGTTTAAAACTTGAACTCACAGGCACTAATTGAAAGAGAGAATCAAGGCTGTAGATTGTGTTCATTACAGTCCTTTTATAGGGAAGAAAGGCTGGGAATATCAGCATGTTCACAGTAATGAAGGGTGCATTAATCTTCCTACTCCAAAGCAGCAGTTCCCTGTTTTACAGTATGAATATTCCAACTGAGCACTCCACTGTTTCCAGGGCATGGCCTGAATGGGCTTCGATTTTACAAGGAGGATGGAAAGAGGAAAACATGAAAGAAACTGAATGAAGGTGTATAGGACAAAGAACTGGCTGGCAGTGTGGTTAAGGCATGCAGAGCTGGGATTTTGGGGTGGTGAGGAAGGATGCTGTGGATCCAGTAGCAGTTAATCCAACTGAACACAAGAGGGCTACAATAACACGTTTTCTTTGGATTGAAAAAGTTCTAGATGGAGCTTTGTGAATGCCTGTCGACCTTTTGGCCTTTTAATTTTATACAACTGGGAGATAGAATAAAATGCTACTTGACAKCCTTTTAAGTGCTTGTGTACACCTATCACTTCAGTACAGGCTATAAGGATTTAAGATTGCTATTTTTAACACTTTTCTAATACTTTAAACTACTTAAATGTTGGGACTACTTACTGAACATGTTGCTGTTGATAAGGTACCAACATCTGTGGCACAGATACATAATTTGGTATGTGCTCCAGTGATAAGAATGCTTTGTTCTGCACTTAAATGGTGGAGAATCCAGATTGTGTGAGCAAATATGGAAAAGGGAACATGGGAAAAACAGTCTGGAAAAGTACAAGCCCTGCCTAGTAACCAAGAGCAAGTGTTAGGTTGCTTCTCTATTGATCCAAAGTGCAATTAAAAGCTACCTCCTGCAGCTGAATTTAGATTGAGCTTTAAAGTTTTTTCTTTCCCCCACAGACCTAGTATCAAGTGGGAAAAAACTGCACAGCAGGTCTCMTATAAACTCACTAAGTGGAGTGTTCATCAGTCTCAACTCCTTGGTTTGCACGGGGCTACTTACCTGAAGTAGTCTATGAGCTCAGTTCAAGTGCTGCAAACAACACCAAAGCATCTGCTGGCTAGAATCAGWGTAAATGTTCAGTGTTCTGTCTCATTTGTTGTTCTACTCAGTGTCAGTGAAAAGGCTTCTTTCTGCAATAAAAGGGTGGTTTGAGGTTTTTTTTTCAGAAGAAAAGGTTGTGCAGTTTTGTTTAGAACAAAGTGAGAACATTAGATTTTGTTCACTCCCTATTGTTCTTTAGACAGTAGGTTGTTTCTCTTAATTGAAGCTGTCAGGATTTGTTTCTCTGGAAATGCACAGGAATATAACTTCCCAATCAATTGTAAATCATAACTGAACATACAGCTTTACTTACATGGTTCAGGATAAGCTTCTGAAGTCCATAAAGCTTGCAGAGATTAGGAGTGCCCAAGACAAAGCCTTGCAGGTTTAGGCATCTTACAATTTAGCAATGACTGTTTTTAAATAAATAATGCCCAGACCCATCAAAATTGATACCAGGATGTAGGGAAGTTTTTACAGGAGGTGTAGGTACACCTGGCTCACTGAATCCACTGTAACTCTTGGTGTGAACGTTTTCTACTTCTGAATGTGACAGGCTGCTAGGAGAGTGGAATATAAGCAAAGAGGATAAAATATCCCACAGCAGTAAAAAGCTGTTTGCCTCTCTTAAAAGCCTGTTTCAAAGGGCCCTTAAGAAAGAAAGTGTTCATACTCCTCCCATGCAGAGATGGAAGCCAAAAAATAATGGCCTTTTGCAGCAGTTTTGAGTWATAGAAGTAATTCTGCATTGCTGCAATCTTTCATGTTCAAGTTGATGAACGGGGCCTAAGGGAAACACACTGGAAGGGGTTCATGTTATGGCAYTTTACTGACATGAGTTCACCCCATTGGTTCACCTGGCACAAGGGTGTGCCACAGCTGCCTCCCCCTGCTCCCAGTGCTGAGTGACACTGATAGAGCAAACTTCCCAGCTAGGAACTACTGATGGTTATCTTCTTTATCAGAAAATTATGCAGGTACACAGTGCTAGTGGCAGGGAGGAGGGAGGGGAGAATTTCTACTTATTACCATGGCTAGTTAGGCAGTCATTAAGTGCAGCCTGGCTTTCTGAGCTGGAAAGCATCTCATTTAGGCATGATCCTATATCTGCAGCCTTGTTTCTGTAGGGCTTTCTCTGACAGCTTCCAAGATTGGCTGTAATGGGTTGACTTGGGCCACTGCTGTTAACTTGCACTTTATGCATGATATGTTTGCTGCTTCTGCTGCTTTTTTTTTTCTGATTACTTGCAAAAACACACAAGCAGCAGGCTAGTTCTTGAGTTTATGGTCTAATTATGTAAGGTCTTTGCATAGAAAAGTAAGATTCTTGGGGAACAGTTGTTAAGCAAAAAAAAAAWTTTTGTCCATCACCTGAGTAAGTTACACAGGTAGAGAGTGAGGGSTATGTTCATCCCTTTTGGACAGGAAAATTTGATTGATGCCTCACACCTGTAGTGCAGCTGCACAGCGGTGTCCACATTCTTGCATGTTAGGCAAATCCAGTTGTGAGTGTTCTCTGAAACCTGACTTTCCCAGAGCTGCAGTGCACTCTGTGAGCACTYCCCTTTTACCAAGGGTGTGTTTGGGGTGTAGGTGCAGGGTCAGCTCTCTGTTGTTTTGTATAGGTCACAGCAGGTAGAGCTGGGGACTGCAAAGGACAGGGACATGAACATGGTTGTGGGGAAGGCCAGGAGTATGTGTCACCTGGGCGAGACATGGTGGGTACTATGGCACTTGGTGTGAATCTTTCAGACAGCTGGTAAAAGGCTTTGGTCTTTAGCAGATTCTGACTGCACTGTRTACTTGGCAGAGTCACTGAAGGCGAGATGGTGCTCCAGTAAAACCAGTGAGGCCAGTGCTGTCTGGCAGCATGGCACGGTGTGTGCTGCACCCCACAGCACAAAGGGTGAGGTGTTCCTGCCCTCTGAGATAGTGCTGCTTTATGGGCCTGGCATGTGTACTCACCAGGGCTAAGTGAGCAGATGAAGGATCACTGAGATCTGTGGGCAGCTGGGATCTGTACTTTGCGGGTTGTGCACTCCAGGAGTGAAAGCAGAGCACAGCACAGTGTGTGATGTGCTGCTTGGTGGGCTGGGGCTGGAGCACGCAGGAACCAGAATTGAGCAAGCAGCAGTGAGGGACTCCATGAACTAAACTGAAACTTAGGGAGGGCAGAGGGAAGTGGGGTCATGCATGCTTAGGGAAATGTGGAAATTACCTCCAYGCTGCTGAATGTGCATAAGGAGCATATATCTGCATTTGCACTCTGCTGTTGCAAATTTGCATTTCCAGCTGGGAGCAGATTTCAGCCCAGTCACCCTCTCAGCTGTACATGCACAATTGTTTTGGCCAGGGATCTCTCTCCCTTTGCTGAAGCCAGAGGTTGAAGCAGGGTTGTCATTGACATCACACCGATCCCTGAAGTGCCCAAGCCCCTTTGGATTTCTTTCTTTTTCTCACGGATGACTCACATGCATCACTTCACACAGKAGGAATCAGTTCTTCCCTRCCTGAGCAGTTGGGATCCATACCCTGCATGCTGTGCTCTGGGAGATGTCTCTMCTTTAGATTACAAGTGTGGGACTTAACCTTGCTAAGTCTTCTCATTTTATGCTCATGTGGTAGTTTGCATCTGGGTCAGACTGCTGGTACAAGCTTGAGAAGCCTTAGGCCTGGATTTAGATCTTTTGATTCAAGTGCTGAGTCTGTGAATGTTGCACATTCTTTTGGCTCCAGCTGCTTATCGGCAAATCCCTGCCACAGGTTACAGGGATTTGCTGATGTCTTGCCCTCTCATCCGGCTCCATCACAAAGCAAAGCCCAGCCATTGAAGATACTTRAACTATCAGAGTTCCATTTTGATGGAGATGGGCTGCAGAGCAATCAAGCCTGCAGATCTGTCTGTGTCTTTAGGGCATGAATGCTTGACAGGGGAGTCGCTCGAGCCAGTGGATGACACGAACTGCGTTTTGTTAATCTGGGGCGTGCCGAGGTGAGAGAGGCGCCCTTGGAGCGGTTCACATACAGGCACAGGGTAGCAGGTGGGGTCACCGGTGCGGGCGGGGGCTCGGCACACCCGGCCTGTGGCACTCTCGGTGTCGGTGTGCGGAGCCCTGCCCCCCATAGCATCTGTGGCACCCTGTGCCCCGCGGCGCTCCCGGGAGCGGGGGAGCGGCGGGAGGAGGCGCCGGGAGTTCCCTTTCGGGGCATTGTGGGAAGGCGCGATGCGGCCCGGCCTCACCTGAGCGGGGCGGGCGGGACGGAGGCGGCCGGGCCGGGCCGGCTCCCAGC